ATTCTTACTTGTTTATTAGCTTTATTGGGTTGTATTGTTTTGCATAAACGAGCTGTTATAATATAAAATTAAATTATTCATATTTTCCAGAAATAAGGATGCTAAAATTAGATCAAACATTATCACCAATATAGATTTTTAACTTGGATATTGATTTTTAAGTAAAGTGACAATAACAATTACTATAACATGTGCCATGAACTTTTAGTGCTAATTATCCTTTAAATGCTAAATATTGTAATGCTAAAAATTGTAATGCTAAAATATTTATATTACACTTACCATGACACCTATTCACAAAGTTATGTAACGCAGCGAGAGAACCCATCGCGAAAAAGGGTCAACAATAAACTTCGAAGAAATTTCGAGAAATGCAAGTATCGATGTCATACCTTTTTTAGAAAGGATTATTATACATTTATTATTAACATATTTATTATATTATTTATTAAACAAACTTTATTACAATATAAAATAAAATTTAAGTAAAAAAATGAACATCCACCCATTTTTTATATTGATTTATCACAATTAATTTATGACTATATTTTATAATTTTCTATAATTCTCTATTATTTAATAATATATTATCACGCTTTCTACGTGTTTAATACACATGCACTTAAATCAATGCACATGCAAAGTAAAAAATATCGCTATTGGTTAGAGTGAGATGGTGTATATTTCTTTCACTCTAATCAAAACGTTATGGTTAGAATGAGACGATGTATATTTCTTTCTTTCTCGTAGGATTTAGCCAAAACATGGCGGATCAGAGTCTCTGATTGGCGGCTCGGAATCGTGGCCAGTCTATGGTTGCGATTCACTTGCTGCTACAAATTCTTCGAAACATTTGATTAATCAATCAGAACAAAAAATATTATGAATTGACCAATCAAAAATTGCTTCGAAGCATTTGTAGCACCAAGTGGATCGCACCCTCTGAGTGTCTCTAGAAATGGCTCACTCCAATAGAGCTCAATGGATCGCTCTCAGACTCTCTCTGTTTGAAATTATTTTTTTTTTAAATGCTTCATTTTCAAATTAAGTGACTATATAATTTAAAATTAAATATCTTGTATAATAAATATTTATATATTAAATATTGAATAAGAATGAAAATATTTCTTATCATAGATATCAATAAAATTTATATTTACAATCGAAGGTAACTAATTGTGCTGCAGAATCATCTATTTCGTTCCTTATCTGTAAGATGTCGTTGTAGAAAATATTATATTAAGAAAAAATAAAAGTTTATAACGTTTCAAAACTATTTTGAAATAACATGACATATTGTGAATTCGATTTTGTTTTAGTTTCTATAATTTTATTGTAAAAGATATGTTTAATTATTTTCTTTTTGTTTACAATGAGTAATAAGTTAAAAAATAAGTTTAAATAAATTAAAAATATAAACAAATTAAAAACTATCTTTTTATTTTCTATTTTTAATGCACATGTAAAATCCATGAAAAAAGTATCAAAGAAAAATTTAATTGGTTGAAAAATTTTTAGTTATTTAGTAATTTTATCTGTGTCAAAAGTTAAAAATTTATAAGTTATATTAAGGTGAAATCAATATGGAAAAAAGGGAAAAGACGAATGATTATAATAATTAGCGTATTTAATATACAGGTTTTTTAATTTAGAAAGTCTTAAAAGGAGACATTGATATGAATAATATAATTTTATACGTATATACAAAGAAGATAATCTTCCATTTATCTCGTGATTGTATTGTATTATCGCATATTTAAGAACTATTATGAATTTTAGGCCATAAGAATGTAAGATTTATCTAAAGAAACAGAATAACAGGAATAATGGGTGTAATAATATTAATATTAACATCAAATCTTTTTGTATCATTATATATATTTTAAAAATTATGTTTTTGTATATATTTTTCCAGTATTGAGAATTATAGAAATATATAATAGATAAATTAATAATTTAAAAAGAAAGAAATATGTATGTAAATTATCGTGCTTCTTAAATCGTAATAATTGTAAATTTTGTATAAAATAGAACATTGTAAGATATACATTCTTTCTTTCTAAAAATAAATCTTTAGCTTTCTGCCAATCGTGCTGATTGTTAAATATGTACACACTAATAGAAATTAATAGAAGATAATAGTCAAAGTTTGAAATGCTCGAAGAGAAAATAAAATGTTTAAATAAAGAAGAGAAGAAAGTACAATAAGCACGTTTTCTCAATGTCTCCGAGGCGATAATGTTATTGTTATGAATATTTAGCGATAAGCCGCTTTTAATTTTCTAAATTTTCACGGAAGATATGGATAATATGATTTATTCGAAAAAGTGCGTAAAGGAGATATTAAAGACCCTTAAGACCCTAGATCGTCAATAAATCTCTCATTTATCTTCAATATTTTGCATACCTTATTTATTTCTTTTTTATCTTCGTATAATAATCGTAAACGTACAATTTAAAACAATAGTGCTCGTGTGTTTATGCAATGTACAGGATACTCTTTAAAGCTATAATACAGTTCGAAATGAAATACAAATCAATAGACTATTACTTTAGGTAAACCTTCTTGTTCTTTTTTAATACATTATTTTCACTACTGGATGACAGTGTCCTTCGTGGTTCGTTTCTCTTCGTTTTTGATCGTATGCCCGCGCGCGTGCATTTTAGTACACGCACGCGCACGCCTCTCCTTCGCGCGTCCTGGGGGCCTCAACAGCTTTTGAATGTCTATCTACAATTACCTTTTGTTGTAAAATATTATTAGGTTTACGATATGATTTCCCTCCTTCCCGCCATTGTCGATAACGCTAACGCATCCGCACGCAATTACGCACTTGTGTATTTTCGTTACGTTATATTACATGTCCGCCTTATATCATTAGACGGTCGTCGATCTTTGCTCTCGACATAAAAGTACTGTTTAAATAATTAAAGCTATCGGCTATCTATCGGCTATCCTGTATCTACAAAGAATCTATGAGTTACACTTGTCCGCCGAATGAAGAACAGGGAAATAATCATAATGTAATACATAATAAATCGTAAGGCGCCTATCTGTCGAGCAAATTCGGACACTTCGGCCGCGATTGTGGCTAGAATCTGATCTGGTCTCACCAATACGAGTCACGTTATTATAATGCCTGTAATAAATCTCTAAGAAACGAGCTTATTCGACCTCTCCGTGAGAATCGACGATTATCCACGGATTCGCGATTGGCGGATGCTCGCGTCAGTCATACGGTTAACCCAAATCGACAAATCGCAAGAATGAATATCAGAGTAATGTTCGAGCGAAATAATTTAGTTTGGTATTCGAAGATGTGAGATCGCATATTTTTGTTCTCTTTCTCCCTGCTTCATAATCGTAATCTGTTCCAGAGCTTTTACTCTGTCGCAGCCCGATTAATGTACCAACATTCGTCTAACATAGACGATCGACGAGATACGAATGTCTTCGTCGTGATATCGTCTGCCACGATTGTTTGATTCGTATCCTCGTCGATCGTCAGACTACTCAATAAGACTCAGGATCGTTCGTTGAGAGGCGGAATCAACGTCATTAAGTTATGAGATGTAATCGCACGAGTATGGTAATATGTACATTTGATAAATCCGGTCTGATCGACTTCCATGGTGACGATTCATGAAAAACTTAAAAAAGAAGAAACAGAGGTTGGAAAATGGAGAAAAACAGAATCAATCGATCACTGGTCTCTCGTTTAGCAATGCCCTTCTAAAGCGATCGTCTCGCACGAATTCCTCGCATCTCTGCCTCGTACAATATTCATTCACATCTCTGTTTCGTTTTTTTTTTTTAATATTTTTAATTGCGGACTAGAATTTAATTGAAGATTAAAATTTATTCTGGTAAATACTATAGTTTGATTCGTAATAATTCGAGGACTATCTCTCTTTCTCTCTCTTACGAAGTTCGTCGTCACGCACGCACACATTCATTCAGTCGCTCTCGTTCTTTCGTTCTTAATGTCTCGCTGGATCGCCTCCAAGTATCTTCTGCGTATTTTTTCCCTTTCTTTCTAGGCATCGATTAATTTACGGCAAATTCTCATAATTATGTGTTTTCCTTTTGCGCCGCCTTAGCCCGCGAACGTTGCATTTTCACGGATCGCAACGGGTGGTCATTGAAATATGTATTCCTTTCCTTTCTTTCCTTTCTTACCTCATCGTTCATCGCTAGTTACGCGACTTTATTCTTACGATGCACAATATGTCGACAAGTGAAAATACAACGTCGTTCAGTATGTACCACTGTTAGTCTGCGTGGATATATTCGTACGCTATTAGATAATTAAGTGTGATAAGTAAGTAAATATACAAGATCGTATGTGTGTGTATATATACGTGCGTGTACTTGTGTGTGTATATGTATATGTATGCATGTATGTAATTTTTTATTTCGTATTCCGAAGTTTCTTCCATTCTTTTCCTTTGTACAGATGTATTTACATGCTAGAAATCGCACGTTAAATTCGCACAATTTCTCGCTTCGTTCAGTGAAACTGGCGTGCGTGTCCGTTTCTTGCTCGCACGCTTTCTTTCTCTCTTTATGTATCATCGCAATATAAGCTCTATCACATTGGCTTTATAAGCCACATTGTTGTCGCGACAATGATTCTAATAATAATAAAATAAAATAATGATATTGATATAATAATGAGAATAATAATAGTAATGATAACATAAACCTAATAATACAGTAATATTATAATAATAATGATAATCAAAATAATATTAAATAATAATCATCAAAGATATTCATCACCAATTTTTTTAGCGCAGCTAATAGTTCTCAACAAATAGAAAAAGGAAATTTAAATAATCATCTTATGGAACGAATAAATTTACTTCTTTTTTGGTATTTTACATTCTGCAACGCCGTTCAACATATCAACGTAGAAATAGTTTTCGATGACAGTGATCGTGACAACTGAGAATATTTAATAATGATAATTATATAATAATAATAATAATAATAATAATAATAATAATATTTATAATTCATAATTATATATAATAGCAGTGATATTAATAACATTGGTAACGGTCTTAAGTGATCATTCTCCTCACAATTTTATAAATAGACGAATAAGCGAGAAGAGAAGAGTAGGAAAAGAGAAAGGAGAAAGGGAAATGTCGAATCTTAACCGAAAGAGATAAAAAGATACACAACTGGAGATAGAGAGAGGAGTATAACATTAACAGCTTAATCGCTATGGGGAATATAGGGAGGCGAGTATAAACAATAACATGAATCACAATTATGCAATAATTATTATAATCGGCCGTTCCGTCACGCGTAATTTTCGTTAAAAATTAATAATAATTTGATCTAACAATTAGTTACTGGGAGATTGCACTGTGGCGAACCCGAACCACCTCCGTTTTCCGTGCATTATCTAGTCCACTCCTAGTCTCCCCTTCTCTGGAATTATATGCATCACCAAGAAGGGATGTCATCCGAAAGCGAAAGCGGCCGGGGTTCTCTCGAATTTCGAGCGAATTGTAACGAGAGCCCGTTGTCTTTCCACAGCCGGCCCCGTTGTACTTCACAGTCCTCTAAATAATACGATCTCGCCGTTTGACCCGCGCGCACCGACACTGATCTCGTAACACTTGCCGCGTAAAAAACGTCACAATATGAGTCCTTTTGATTGAGCTCCGTTCCATTTTGATCGTTTTGTTTTTCTCTTGGTGCTCATCTATCGACCAAGAGGTATCTTCTCATTTCTTCTCCGATGACATTTCTTCTTCCTATGACTCTTCGCGCCTCACTATGATAATGCCCTCGTGGTAGGCAGGACTCGCACGATCGAGTCCTATAACTGGTTTTCTTGTTTAAAACTTAACTAGATCGGTGATCCTCGCGGAACGTTTTTTCTTACAAAGCGTCGTTTTGGCATATCTCAACAATACGACCCTGGAGACACGTCGGATACTCCGCTCGAGTTTCGTCTTTGTCCGAAGAAGAAACATCAAGCTTACATGTAATCCCATGGAATTTTGTGCTTTAAATTGTCCTAATAATCCCACGTTTCTTCCGGTTCGTGTTTCACCACGTCCTTCGGACTTTCCTCGGTGGACTGTTGTGTCTGTTGTGCCGACGGCGGTCTGAGCGACGTTGCTGGACTGTTTTGACCAGACTTTGGACTGGGAAGTGGACTATCCCGATCTGCCCCATTATTACCGGACACGGAAGAGACATCGCTCTGAGCATCCTCTTCGTATCGGTCCTGTACTGGTGTCGGTTCGACTCTTATAGTCTCCTCAGCTTCTCTCTTCACTCCGTAATCATCCGTCTGCATTACGCAAACGCCATTGATAATAACTTCATCACCCGTTCTCGTTGGTTCCTGCCACTCCGGATTTACCCACTGCGGTGCCGCAGGTTTTCTTCTGTTGGACCTGACTGTCGTAGGTGCCGTCGGCGTTTCTGTAGGTTCTCTTTTTATACTGCCAGCTGAACCTTCCGAGTCTTCGCTACCTAGATTACTCATTGCATCCTCAACGTCTTCGTCCTCAAACTCTTGATTGGGTTCTCTCTTCAGGGCGTTCATCGAGAGATCAAGACCAGAGCATTGTTCTTTTAATGCATTACCTACCAGAGCCGCCAAATTTGGATTAAAGTACGGAGAGTAAGGTAAAGGTACGTTTCCTAAACCTAATCTCTCCTTTTGAATCTCCAGCAGTCTTTGGTTCAATAGCAATCTAAATTGAACAGGGTCAAACGGTTGCCCGGGTTCTCGTGGCGACTGCGGTTCCGGTTGACCGTGCGGCGTTTGTTGCTTCAGTCTCATTCGATGATTGTGAAACCAGTTCGTTATCGTTCTTGAAGACAGCGCGAGTTCACCGGCAAGGAATTCAATAGTGGCCACATTAGGATATGGATCCAAGGCGAAGGCAAGTCTGAGGGCTTCCTTCTGTTCTTCCGAAAAAAGAACGCGTTGCTTTTTTCCGGTGGTGGGTCCAGGACCAGGTGATGCTGCGTGATAAAATTCGGCGGTATCGTTACTCGAAGTATCGGAGCTGTTATCGTGACCGGGACCGCTGCTGCGTCGTCTTTTGTTCGCTTCTCGCCGTTCGTTTTTCAACGCCTGCAATCGATCGACGTTGTGCGCGTCTGACAACCAAAGTTGCATCCTGATAAAAGGTTCCCGACCTTTTATGCTGAGCATATGCCATGGTTTCGGTTTGCTTAATAACTCACTGACAGAACCCTGCGATAGACCGAGAACCGCTTCACCAAAAATCTTCTGGCCAATATTGTTAGCCAACAACGCTTCCTTGATTTTCGTAGTGATTGTCTGTGTATCGAGATCCTGCGTAAGAGCGGCCATCTCATATACGCTCGGTGAAATGTGTGGATGAAGACCTCGAAGAGGCGATGGTGCCATCTGATGATGCGGCGAATGTAGTGACATTTGTTGCTGCTGCTGCTGTTGTTTCTTTGGAGTTCTTGCATGCTGAGTTGAGTATGAGGGTGATGGGGTCCGGGTGGAGTCAACATCATTGGTGGTGGCGGTTGTGGATGTTGCGGATGCTGAGGACTTTGCTGTGGTGGACCGAGCTGCATCTGATTCTCCTGTTGATGCTGCTGCGCTGCTGCTTGCGCAGCTGCTTGAGCGGCGGCCTGTGCTTTTGCCGCATTCTGAAGCTGTTCTTGGACGAGTTTTGTTGGCGGCATAGGTTTCATGGGTGTTCCACAAGCTGTAACAATAAAAGATTCGATCAAAAAAATTCAGCAAGTGTAATCAAAATTTTATAGTCCGAAAGCTCATCCCCTACGAACGTCGGAAAATATAAATTTTATTTCTATTTATTTCTATTAAAAATTATATCAATATAATGTAATTTAACTCATTCTGTAATAAAATAAAGAAGTTGCATCTATATGTAGCAAAAATATCATGCTTGTTTACGATTGCCTTCTTTGTAACAAAATATATATTATTATGACGTCGTGCTGAACAGACGTACTAGAGCTCCCGAACTACATTGATAATAAAGTAACAAAACATCTATATTGACCTGAGTTAAACTTACGAGGCAGGCCGCCGTAGCCGCCGGTCCTCATTAGCTTCTCCGGTGCGATCTTATACTGACTGGCGACAAGCTTGTGCACTGCGTTGTCATCTTCGAGGAACATCTTCATCCGAATGAAGGGTTCGCGACCCTTTTGGGTCAGCATGTGCCACGGTTTTGGACGCGCGAGGAGGTCTGATACTGATCCCTGAGATAGACCCAATACTGATTCGCCGAATAGCCGCTGCGAAATCGAATACTGAGATAGCTGTTCTTTCACCTGTGGATTAAAGATAGATATTCAAGATTAGACATGGTGCAAATAATAAATTATATCTATATTATATATATATATATATATATATATATATATATATATATATAGAGAGATATATATATATATATATATATATATATATATATATAAATAGAAGAAAAGAGAGAGAGAGAGCTAGCGCTGAGTATGATTTAGTCACGTTACCCTTTTCACAATATCTTCAGTGTTAAGATTATTGTACAGGTCGAACTGCTGTTGCGTGATTGGAGGAAGCACAGCTTTTAACGGCCTTTGGTTGGCCGCATGGTGAGTTGGTGTGGACGGTTGACTTATTAAACTGTTCGTGATGGAGGCCATCCTCTGAAGAGGGCTGGCTGCCGCCGCACCAGAGAACTCCTCGTTGGGTGTCATCGCGGGGGGGAGTATGGAATTGCCAAGCGGCGAACTCGCACTGGAACCGCCGGGCGTCGATTGAGGACCCGTCGATTCCTGCTTCGGCCTCACCAAAGAAAATGCACTTCCGGCGTGTCTCATCGCCTCTTCCATTTTTTCTTTCTCTTCTTCCGATACACCATTTATCATTTTATTGCGCGGATCCACTTTGCCTAAACTCAAGTCTTGAACACCGCCGCCACCGCCGTTCGCGGCTAAATGATGTTGCTGAAGAGCTTGTTGCTGAAGTGCCAACAAACCTGGCAGTCCAGGTAGTCCTGGTAGTCCGGCCATCGAGGGATTCTGGCCTGGAGCGGCATTCAGTTTTTGGAGTTCACGATGATAAGCATCCAATGCCAGTCGAATGTCTTCCTGGGTACGTTCGATGCCTTGAAGACCACCTTGGGTGCCACTGAAAAAATGTGGAAAGATCGCGCTACGGTCAATCGAGGTCATGTGCTGTCCTCAATAATGATCAATCATGAAAAACGCAATCGTACATAAACATTGTATGATATCATCAAAGCCATTAACTTCGAATTACATGTCGCGTCGAAAAATTTTTTTTATATTTTAATCAAGATATGTTATGTTATAGAATGCATCGAACATTTTTTATTCAAACTAAGTGATATGAGAAGTCATATCACTTAGTTTGAATAAGATTTTTTTTTATCATGATACAACAGTTTGCTCTTAGTATTTCGTGCGTATTTGATCAAATATAGGACATTAATTTGGCCGTCATCTATTCGATCTTCATTATGCATTGACAGACAGAGAGAAAGAGAAAAAGAGAGCGGGGGGAGAGAGAGAGAGAGAGAGAGAGAGAGAGAGAGAGAGAGTCCTTCGTCATTGTGATATAAACGTCGACAAGTAAATTCATGTCATTAATCGTGATTTTACCTGGGAAACTCCCGTGGACGAAGATCCTCCACTCTCCTGCCCATCAGCTTGGCCAATTCTTCTTGATAAATTCTCACTACCTTCTCTTGGGGAATGTCATCATTTTCATACTTCTTCAGTCTCCTGTTTTGGCTGTCCAGTCTATCTTTGTTAAACGGACTCGGGCAACCGATTCTATTTGGACTCTTGCTGTCAGCGTCATTCGACATCTCGTGCTCACCTCTCATTTGCATATGGCTCGATTCCGAGAGAATATGTGCCAATCTTTCGTCACTCATTTCTGGTGGACCACCATCCTGTGGTCCACGCGCGAATGCTGGCATTCCTTGCTCCTTGCCTGAAACATACTCTACGGGTGAGGCACAACTTGTGGTGTATTCTCACTCAGTTTGTTTGTGGACTTAGAAATATATAATAATGAGATAATATAAAATTAAATTTATGGAAATACATAATGGAACACATAAACATAATAATTCGCGACGCGTTGTTTAACAGGCAGTTGATCGACAGCAGCACTGTTTGCTAATTTCTTTTATTTTCCCCTATTGAGATTATCGCTCCATCTTAATATAAGAAATAATGATATTTATTTAATATCATATAAAATATGATTCATATATTGATATTGTTATAAAACTGATCGTCACATTTTCTAACGAGGAATGTTTTTACTTGAAAATGTAGTGGTCTATATAATAATGAATATCATATTTGGAGGATGATTCTATGTTCGTACGCAATTAATATCGCGCGCAATCGATAACTGCGTGCTGAACCCGAAGGCGAAGTATACCCAACGACGATAATTAAAATATCCTCTTCTGGACCCTCTCCCTTCTTGCGGTCTTCCCCCTGCACGTCGGCAGGAGTGTAGTCCTCCTACGTGTTTCCCGTCTAATTGACCAATCAGCTGCAAGATTCAGACGAACGAACCACCGATCATGTCTTTGATTGCTCTCGCGAGCATCACACGCGAATCGCCGAGAAAGAGAGAAAGTGGCTTGACGTGCGACGTAAGAATTTTGAGGGCACAGAAGAAATAACGTTTGGGCGATTTGTCCATCAACATCTGATGTTACTTATTTAAACGCGCGTTGGTAGAATCCACTATATTTCCACGATTGCGAATGCAGTGAACGATTCTTGCCAGACGCGATTCGAAAGCTAATACAGCTGCGTTTTGTATCATTATCTTGTATCGTTTGTGTTGTGTAGATATGATTACTCCTAATGCCATAAGCAATCGCAGGCGAGTGCCGCATTAAGAGGAAGAATAATGTCTCTTTTTCAACGCACGTCTCTGTATCATATAGCATGTATCATCCGAGGAAATTTAACTTCCTTCGCGATAATCCGCGCAAGTCGCATTCCATCTTATTATATGGTCTAACGCTGACAGATAATAGTATGATCTGCGTCAGAAGAAATCGGCAGATTTACCGATTCGGATAACAATAGCGAAATGTTCGTGCGTTTTGATAATCAGGTGGGTGATTCGAAGCATTCGAGTGAAATCGGGAAAAGAAGGAAATGATGGCGTATATCCGCATGATCGCGCATTGTCGCAACGTTTGATGCCAACAAGCTCATGCTTGCGCGATTATGCTTCTACTCCCTTCATACACCTATGGAATGTTATATAGAACTAACAAAAGTCCTTTCGTAGAACTATATAACAGAATCTAAATCCGTTACGATCAACTACTCTTAATAAAATATTTAGGGTAAAAAGCTACAGATACTGCGATGATCGACGTGAAGTAATTTTCTTGGCAAACGTAATTAGAAATGTGTCAGAAGGATTGCTCGTGAATAAATGTTGTAAATCTTTATCATATTATAAATATGCATTGTTATATTACTGACAATTTTATCACTGAATTCAGAGAAGCGTATACGATTACGTTATGTATATGGAATGATGTTTGCGAGTATATTGAGATAAAAGAAATGAGGTCACTATTACATTACGTCTTGTCTGTGGGTAGGCCATCTACGATCCATTAATGAAATCAGCGCTATCATTATCGAACGAGATATATCCCGTGGATTGCGGTAGCAATATTTTAAGTTCCGTTTGAGGAACCGTTTGGGATTAAGTGATTTCAAAAGTATTGAAACAGACAAATCGATGCCTTACAATTGTATTTAATGCTTGTTAATCGCTATTATTGAATATATAATTAATTTTGCTATACAGCACTTTGAGAGTCTTTATTCTATACCATTATGCAAATCAAATATCATATGATAGTTCAGTCTTGTTGGAAACTGACTGATGGAAGACGAATTACTTGCGTCTCACTAACGTCTTCCTTTTCGCGGATACTTCAACGGCATCACGTGGGAAACCTTACGCGCATCACGTACGGAATCGTGTGCGCTCGTTGATTATACATTCGAGAGAATCCTCCCGCAACTTTCTCATAGGAAATCTAGAATAAGTAGTCGAGCAACAAATATTATCGGACGAACGCGATCGCGAAACGATACCTTGCGGCGCGTGCAACATACAATGACGACCAATGCAATTATCTACTTGTCACATATATCCGCAGACATTCTCATCAGCTCGGATACAATGAACAGTATCGCCACAATTTCACAATGTTTCTTTCAATTAAGAAGCACTTTTCCACAGGTTTACTTAATCGCGAATCAACTTGTGTGCTACTTTTCAAACGCTCGCCGCGTTCGCTTACGCGCGCGCGCGCGCGCGCGCGCGTGTGTGTGTGTGTGTGTGTGTGTATGTGTGCATTGCAGGTGCCAACAGATTTTGACGAAATTAGATTTAGGAGTATTTCGTCAAGCTCCGAAGGATGTTACATTACGACAGGAAAGGCATTAAACTCAGGCGTTACTCTGAAAAATACAGTGTGGGTGCATTGTATATATATTCTCAACAGAGCTGGATGATAAAAGATTTTCATCTCATCGCTACTTCGATCGCTCACACATGCGTTAATTTCTCACGGTTTGAAAAATCTCGATGTGCGGGATAAAGTCGCTTGGAAAATGGCCCGGTTGTTTGCGCAACGTCATGGCACGTCTCATGGCATTGTTACGAGCTTTGCACACTAAATCCATACTTTTCTCAACAATCGCGCGCCCGTCCCGCTGGCACCTTCGTCTCACCTACGATGACGGGATGGCGAAACGTCACGGTCGACGTGCGGTCCACGATCGCGTCGCGGCATCAAAGACCGGTTACGGGGAATCGACGAAAGAGAGAACAATCGCGTCCGCTCGCGGTACACAATGGGCATACGACAACGGCGCCCGAAGGAAATGTTTCGCGTACGCATACGCGTTACCCGTGCGTGTTTCGCCGGAAAGGAAACCGTACTGTACCGACGGTAATTATATTCGCGCCGTAAAATTGTCTCGACGCATGCACGTGCACGCGACGCGACCCGCGCACACACGGGCGCGCACGCGGCGCGCTATACAAGGGAGAAACGCCGACAATGGTCCTGATTACAAAATCTGGAACGATTTCGTGGGAGTTCGTCCCGTAACGGTGACTTAAGAAACTCACCCGATTGTTGCGGGAGCGAATGCGAGTTATGGGTTACGACGCTTCTGAACGCTACGCGTCGAGATGCGATCGCGACGCGAGATTTGTGGAAAACGCACAATAATTTTCGCATCAGCTCAATTCTTTTTTTGCTATTAACTTGAAAGAAATCGAGAACACATACATTATTATATATAATATTTAAGTAATGTCAAGGTAAATAATTTCCAATCCAATAATTTCATTATTTCAGTACTCATTAAAAGAGGAATGGATATTTTGCGTAAGTTGTCTGCGATATGGTAATTTCCTGTGCGATCAGTAATTTAGAAGGAACGTGTGATGTCCTGAACTGTGATGATGTCATTTCAGAGATAAGCAGGAACAAGTACATATATATTTGTTCTCATTGCATTCCGTATCATCTTGCGTAGTGCATCTACAGTTAAACGCCTAACAAAATGTCGAATCGAATAAAACAATTTAACTAGCGACACATAACAATATTCCTGCGACGTATAATAAAATAACATTCAAATGCGATTGTTGTATGAATATTTTTTTTAAATACCTAGTCTGAAGTATTTATTGCGAGGAGGGAAATCTAGATGTTATCGACGATCGCGTTCACTATATCCTTGTTTGCATCGCCAAGAATGAGGACGCGTTTGCATCCAAAAATTCCGAGCAGTTGATGCGCGTATAACGTCTTTCGCCGTAGCGAGGTGTCAAGATGTGGAAGGATACGAGCAATGCATGAGATCCGATAAAATCAGCGCGCAAGGCGGAGATAATGAATAAAACTCGTTCGCGCGGGAGCACCGCGCTCTACAGCCGTTGCACCTTCGTGTGCACCTGTGCGCACACCTGTATACAAGAAAATATTTTCTTCATCGCTTTTGCGGGTGGAGGTATATTGTTGCGTACAACAGCTTGTTTAACTGACGTGGAGATATATGATGTCCGTGGAGAAGCGTGAGATATCGTCGTGTCGGTTTCTTCTCCGTGTCCGGACAATTAAAGAAAAGTCGGGCGCGTGCGTTCGTGGCATAAATAAATTATTTCTTGGAATGAATTGAAAATTGAGCCAGTTTCTGATCTCGTTGAAAATTACCAATGTGAATCAAATAAACTGATGACTTTAATTTAACATAGCCATTCACTTGTTTATGAGACTTAACTTAGAATTATAAAAGAGAATTTTGTTATTTACTCCGATTTCAATCTCTCTGTGTGTTAGCCATATAGCAATTCACAATCTTTTAGAATCTAAAAGATTGTGAATTGCTATATGGCTAACACACAGAGAAAAATTTAATTTTAAAAATTTAATTTAGACCTATGTGATGAAAAAACTACTTGAAAAGCGCTTCATCTAATTTCACAAATGATCGATATATATACTTTTTTTTTTATAAAGCTATAATAAGATGTGAACTATTCTAAACGAGCACACAAATGCTCTTTCGATGTTGCTCTTTCGATGACCTCCGCGAGATCATCGTATAATTTTTATTTGATGTTTTGCGAGTATATGAGTATACATGTAGTTTAGCTGATATGGCATGAACACTTTCATAAGTTTTGTTATAAGTTTTGAAATTGTTATCGCACTTCGATAATGTTATCTCTCTTTCGAATCGGGTCAACGTACGCAGATGATACTTTTATAACCGCGATCGTTAGGCGAACGTTTTTCTGATACTTCTATGTATACTTCGCGTTAGTCAATTCTTTTTAAACATCGTTAATCATAAAGTAGAAATAACGAAAAACCCGTTCATAATCATGTCTCTCCATAAAATGGGCTCCATAAAATGGCGATAATTATATCAGTTATAAAAGCATAAACGTCCCGTCGCTCATACGGAAATCCTAGTTATATGACTGTGAGTATGGCTCGTAACGATTCTCGCTGTGGTTGCAAATCATCGTAACCACGATTTTTGTCCATGATGGTCTCCGCGGAAAGTCTCCTGTGAGAATCTGCGGATCGCGCCTGCGGGACACGCGCTTACCGCTGCAGGAAACAAAATTTTGCAATAAACTGACTTGGAGCTGGACCAACTATGTTTATTACAGTAATCTCGCTATGCGTTGCTCATGGTTGCGCGCTTATAGATCAATTGTGTTGCATACGCTCCGCGAGCAATAATAAACCGCCCGGACGTGCCGCGTTGAATAGTGGGCCAAGATCCAGATATGTTTGTCGTGGGATTAGCAGTTTCCACGAACGCGCGATTTTTGCAGCTTTCCTTAAACGACTGACTGAGAGATATCTATATAATTTATACGATCGTGATTTAGATCATCAAAATTTGAAGAACTCTAGGTGACATCAATTAAATTAAAAGAATTTCACTCTGAATTAATGTGAATAAATTCATTATTAGCGCCATAATTTGATCCCTCGCATAAATTTTCGTTTGAAAATTGTCGCTTTCATAAAAAAACAGAGGTAAAAATTGAAGCAGACTATGAATCTATAGGCAGTTTTTTGCAGCTTGCTATACACAATTTATGTAAAGGATTAATTCTCTATAATGTTTTCATGACAAGGACTAACTTGTGAACACGAAATCATTTCGACCCGAGATCAATAGCCCATCATATAATGGTAACAGTTTTTAGATGTATGAATGATAAATAAGGTGACTGAAAGTCGATTCACAAATCACAATAGAGCTTTCAGCGACAGGTTGGTATTGCGCCGCCTGTGCTTGTCTATATAGCCCGCGATGAGTCGTTAGATCAGGTATTTAGCCCGACGCAAACTTATCTTAACCGACACCTCTACCAAAGCTAGGCGGCGCCTTTCAGGCTTTATAAAGCCACTGATTTTTGCCCATAAATCACGCCTGATTATAGAAGTTTCGGACATTACTCCAAGTATATTTATGCTATTGAATCGCGGCGGATTCTCGTTACGACCACAAAGGGCTCACACCATGACTCATACGAACAAACGGCCGCGGTGAACGATTAAGCCAACGACTAAAGAAACCTTCGTATTGATGATGGCATGTGTTATATTTTTAATACAGATTATAAATAAATCTTGCCGATCATAATGGTTTTTAAATCTAAAAGAAACTGATCTACAGTGTAGCGTGAATTTTATTCTAGGCGATAATATGCCTCAATTATTTAATATACATACGTATAAGTGTATTTTATATGAATTTTTAACTCAATTTAAAATTGATATGAAATTCTGATATAAAAATAGTACAGAGAAGTGCGAAAAAGAAATTGCATTTAAAACATACGATTAACAGTGATCACCAATATTTTTTGTTACGATTTCTTCCCTTCGACGGCTTGTTTGACCATTTTCGACGATCGTATTAGCGATGGCAGTTCCTCCTGCAGTTCTGATTTACTCTCATGCTCACGCCATAGGATAACACACACACACACACACACACACACACACACACACACACACACACACACACACGACGACGG